AGAAAAGAATGCTTATTTAAAAAAAAAAAGGCAGTGGGGAGGACAGAGTGATGTGGATTGTGCTTTGTAGAGTAAGCACTTTCCTCTTTGTGGGACTCACAGCACCTGGGGTAGATGAGACTGCTGATGGCCAGAGGTGATCAGCCTGGAGACTCTAGACATATGAGGCCGGTCTGATTGCCCTGATGGCTGAGATCAGTAGTTTAGGAAATCTGTCACCCATTTGGGGCCCAAAAATTGGGGGTGGGAGCGGGCTCTGTTATATAGGGAAAACAAATGAGAGGTTGCATGTAATCAAGGGCGATTTTAAGCCTTAGCCGGGTGGTGGTATGTGGGTTGTGCTATGTCTTGTCCAATGACATGATGAGTGTGAGAGGGTAGGTGGTGTGAGTTATGGCTGTACTTCATCTGGGTTCTGGGAGGTTTGTTCAGGGATTAATTCAGGAGGTGTTTATGTGCCAGGCACAGTTAGGAAGCTGGAGAACAACAAACGAAAACAGCTGTCCTTGTGGAGTTTGCGTGTTAGTGGGGTTGATGAGGAAGGCCCAGGGCCTTTTGTGGGGGAAGCTCCTCCCGGCAATGAGTGGGAACCCTGCTCCCCCTCCCCACAGGCCTCAGGATGTCTCTGGCAGATGAGCTCCTGGCCGACCTTGAGGAGGCAGCAGAAGAGGAGGAAGGAGGAAGCTATGGAGAAGAGGAAGAGGAACCAACGATTGAGGACGTGCAGGAGGAGACACAGCTGGACCTTTCCGGAGATTCGGTCAAGAGCATCGCCAAGCTGTGGGATAGCAAGATGGTGAGTGGGCAGTAAACAGAAGCTCCCAAGACGGTGGGCTGGGCTGGGCAGTGGCTCTTCTCGAACAGTCCTGGGTGGTGACGCTCCTCTCCGGCCCCAACAGTTTGCTGAGATCATGATGAAGATTGAGGAGTATATCAGCAAGCAAGCCAAAGCTTCGGAAGGTACCTTCTCCCTGCCCACTCGCCCTCACCCACCCCGCCTGCTCTCCAGCTAGCTCCTTGGGCCCCTTTTGCTGCTTGCGTCTCCATCTCCCTCTCGGCCTTCTCCAGAGCCCTCTTCTTCCATCCCAACCCAGTCCCTTTCTCCCCTAAAAAGATGTTACATTACAGCTAACACTCCTTAGTTCTTACTCATTGCTCACCTAGGACTTTTCGCTAGGTTTCCCAGATTTAAGTACATCACATGACCAGTTATAGAGGTTTTGCCATCTATAAACCACTCATCTACTTCACATTTTCTTTAAATCAGTGTACTTTTCCCCTTAAATTTATCTCAGGAGGAATGTTATTGCTACTGTGAATAGGAAATGGTATCATTTGGTAAAGAGGAAGGAACCATGAACATACACGATTATTAAAGCACCACTTAAAACCTCTCACTGCCAACTTTGGGGAACGCTGGGGTTATCGTTTGACTATTCAGACCAGCTCTTGGAGGGTGATCCTGTTACACCCCCATTCTTCTTGTCAGGGTGGGGCTCTCACGGAATTCAGTGGCAGCAGGAAACCACGGGAGGTTGTCGGGCACCAGGGTGGTGTAGTCAGAGCAGTTTTGGGGAGACTCTCCTTCCTTTCTTTAATGTTTTTGAGGTACTCTGGGGCTGGGCACAACAGACAGGCCACGTCCCAGACAGTTATTGGTGGGCGGTGCCTGCTGGGAGGGACGGAGCTGGGTACACTGGAGGCGCAGGAGGGGCCAGCTGACCCTGCCTCGGGTCAGGGAAGAA